TATTTAATAGGCAGGCAGCCATATCACCCTGTAGCCCAAGACTGGTTGCCCACTGAAGCTAAGCAGGGTTGAGCCTGCTCAGTATCTGGATGGGAGACCTCCTGGGAAAACTAGGTTGCTGTTGGAAGAGGTGTTAGTGAGGCAAGCAGGGGGTGCTCACCCTGTGGTCTGTGTGGGTCCTAACGCCACAGTATAGTGACGGGGACACTATACTGTCAACAAGCACCGTCCTTCGGATGAGACGTTAAACCGAGGTCCTGACTCTCTGTGGTCATTAAAAATCCCAGGATGTCTTTTGAAAAGAGTAGAGGTGTGACCTCGGCATCCTGGCCAAATTTGCCCATTGGCCTCTGATCATCATGGCCTCCTAACAATCCCCATATCTGCTGATTGGCTTCATCACTCTGTCTCCTCTCCACCAATAAGCTGGTGTGTGGTGGGCATTCTGGCGCAATATGGCTGCCGTCGCATCATCCAGGTGGATGCTGCACACTGGTGGGGGATGAGACGATACCCCCTGACAATGTAAAGCGCTTTGAGTGCCTAGAAAAGCGCTATATAAACATAATTAATTATTATTATTAATATTATTATTATTATTACTATTATTATTATTACATAAAAAACTCTATTGGCTAAAAACAATTCAGCAATTAAAAATCCAGTAATTCCTAAAGATTGGAAAACTCATAGACATTCAGCGGCCATTGTGTTATTTTACTATCATTAATATACTATTTTTGTTAATATTTTAAATTGATTTTATTTTTATATTTTCTGTATATTTCTATATTTTTAAAATAAATAAGTGTTTTCATCTTTCATTTTATTAAAAGTCTTAGTAATTTTGTTGTCTTTTTAATCATTCAAATAATTCACTTTTTTACGTGTATATTTTATGTGCGTTTTAGGTTTTAGTTTTAATTTATTTATTTTTAGTTATTTTAGTACCTCAACTTGTACTAAACAAAAAAGAGAAATGTTGTCTTGGAAACTAGCTGAACATTTTTTATATATGTATATTTTATTGTATTTCAATTATTTCAAGTAATATTTTTGTTTCCTTTTTTATGGTTTTAGTTAATGATAATAACCTCAGTCATACGGTGTCTGGTGTCTATTTTCTTTTTGCATCAAATTCTGGTGAATTTAAGATTGTGGTTTCACATCTAAACATCCATAAACAATTCTTCTCTTATATCCAATTTCTTTAATCATTGGCTACACTTAACATGCAGCCGTATAATGCGATCAGGGCTGTACTGTGATTAAGCTGGAGCTCATGTAAACAGAATACCATGATTGTTAATGTCATTATGTTCATAATGAGCACAGTAACCATAATCACAGTGAAATATGTGTACTGTGGTTTTAATCACGCTATTGGTGTTTTAATCGTATTTCTTACACAAGTGCTGCAGATGGATGGTGTGTTGCTCATGGAGGGAGTTGCATTATGAGCGATTTGTGTAGCTGTTTATTTTAGAAATGTCATCCCTCGTATTACCTATTACTGTAATCTGTCATAGGATTTCATAGCAGCCTGTTTTATGAGCCGCACTGGATGACAAAGGCGCCAGACAAGAGAACTTGGACGAAACATCATTCACATTTGTTTTAAGCATAAATTGATGCATTTTTCAGAAAACAAAACATAATATAATTTTGCTTCTCAAGTGAAAGGAGTAGTTCACCCAAAAATGAAACTTTACTGAAAATGTAGTCACCATCAGGACATCCAAGATGTAGATGAGTTTGTTTCTTCATCAGATTTGGAGAAATGTAGCATTCCATCACTTGCTCACCAGCGGATCATCTGCAGTGAATGGGTGCCATCAGAATGAGAGTCCAAACATCTGATAAAAACATTACAATAATCCACAAGTAATCCACACCACTCTCTCCTGATTCAGACAAGATGAAAAAAGCATTATTATGGATTATGGGCTTGTATTTTAGCTGGAAGCAACAGTTTGAAGTTAAAATCATAATCATAGATTTGTTTCTTACAAACATGTTGTTTTGTACTTCACAAGAGATTCATTGATGTACCTGGAGTGGTGTGGATTACTTGTGGATTATTGTGTTTTTTATCAGCTGTTTGGACTCTCGTTCTGACGGCACCCATTCACTGCAGAGCATCCATTGGTGAGCAAGTGATGGAATGCTACATTTCTCCAAATCTGATGAAGAAACAAACTCATCCACATCTTGGATGAGAACATTTTCAACAAATGTCCATTGTGGGGTGAACTGTTCCTTTCAAAGTGAATTCAAATTGAAAAATGCATGTTCTGAAAAATTATACACCTTGAGTACAATGCAAATTGCTGGATACCAGCATCTGCCAAATGCATAAATTCAAATGTATTTGCATTCACTTTTTATGATGAATATCATTTGTGTTTTTTCTGCGTGTGATTCACAATCATTTCTTAAAAGTTGAAAGTGAATGGAAAACTCCACTTTTGTAGGGATGAATAAACGTCACCGTCTAACCTTCAGAGCCAAAAGTACTGACGTTCCCTGAACAAACAAACGTCTTTGTTGATTTGATTTTTATTGTCATCACTCTCAGTTTGGAGGACGGTAAAAGCTCAAACGCTGACTCACGCTTGAATGTTTTGCTTTAATTAATACGATTGAAAGCAAATTAGTTTATGCTTCTTTTCATATCCCTCCATTTTGCAAATTAACGCATCACAGCGGAACACTTGGAGACCAGAAAATCAATGAATACATATTTAAAAATCCATTTTCAGCCTTAACACGTTCGCGTTTATTCTATCCCTGTTCCACCCGGCGGCCAAATCAATGATGTTTTAGCATCCTGAAGCAGCTGCTGCTGTCCTGCCTGCTGGAATAGATTGTGTTTCTTCCCTTCCTGCTGGATGTGCTATCACCTTCTTTGCTTTTCATGCGTTTTTTGGGATCAGAAGTTCATATGTTTCAAAAACCAGCATCTGACCTCTGTAAAGTTCTGGAGGATTCCACCAGCCCAAAAATGATTGCTTATAATTCTAAATTTAGGATTTGTGTTGCATATAACATTTTTGGATTACACAGTTTTAACACAATCTAATAAACTTAATGTGATTCATTTTTGTCAGTCATACATAAATGAAACTGGTCAGATTTTTTAGTTGCACGAACAAGCTGAATGTGTTTTAAATACACAATAAACAATTTTATGTATTCATCTTCAATAAATCCCATTTATTTAGATCTTATGTATTTTTAACTAATTAAATACTATGCCACAATTTTTGTTTAATTTATGTATGATTGACATATACAATATGCATCACCTTAAGTGATAAGTCTGTTATTTTAAAGGCTGTGTAATCCAGTGTTATTTTTTTTTAGTATATTAACTTTTAATAGTTTTAGTTTGGATAATGCGTGATTGTCACACACACACACACACACACACACACACACATATATATATTACAGTCTAATCCAAATGGGTGGAAATTATATATGAAATTCATATACATACATTTACATTTAGAGTGTAAGAAGTCAAGCTACAAATGTTTTTCATTTGAAGATGTCACATTAAACTGGAATAAAGATAAAGTATTTTAACACTGAAAAATTGCACACCTCTAAGGAGTTATATCGAAATTACATCAGCTTTAAGGATCAGCTCTTTCTTGTCTCTTGTAATATTTCTTCTCATAATCAAGGCTATCTCACCGTATCTCGATGGTAGTGAGGTGCTGATGGAGGAAAAAGAGGTAGAGAGATTGAAAGAGACCTATAGAGAAGGCCTTCAGACGTCTCCTCGCTGCAGGTTCTCTTCAGTCTTTCTGTGTGGAATCTCAGTATTCTTGTGGCCCAGGGTTCCGTCGCATCTCTGAAAACACGACAAAGTGTACTCCTTAATAATGATGATAGCTGGAGCACTGGTCCTCTGACAGATCCAGTGGGACTCGATTTGATGAGTGAGTCAGAGAAACCTCCTACTGTTGTGGAAATGGACCGATCAGGGGGCGACGCAATGACTTTTTTTAAACGTGATTTCCAATTACAGATCAGCAGTACATTTTGATCGGATGTTAGGAATTAAATTGTGTTGAATTTGTGCCTCTGACTGGAAGAAAAACTCATTCAGGAGAGCAGCACGAGTCGCCTTCAGCAGATCAGACATTTACTGGTGTGGAAAGAGTAAGGTGGTCCTAAATAATTATTATATTGATATATTTTGAACATGGTTCTACCCAGGGTTATTGCAGTAAAACTAAAACTATTATATATATAATAATATATATAATATTAAATATATACAAATATTAAAAAATTAAGTTGCCAAAGCAACATTTTCATTTGGTTTAACTTGATGTACTAAAATAACCAAAGCTAACACTGAATTTAAAAAAAAGAAAATTTAATT